GATGGTGCCTGGATGGGAGTTTTATCCCCAGTCAGAGTCCTCTGCAGTATTGGCCACAGGTGCAGCCGCTTAAGCCCCACTGGGAGGGGGGAGAGATGTCAGCCAGTTCTTTTGCTGCCTGACTGGTCTTGTGAGTAGACTGCACCCCCAGGCCCATTCCATCTGGGTGCAACTCACTGGGTCGCTCCCTCCAAGGAGGGAGCAGTATAAAGCTGAGTCCACCAAGCTTTGGGATAACTCAAGTTTGCTGTGGAGGAAGAGGCCAGGAAACAGAGCAGCTCCATTCAGCTCTTTGCTGACTGACTGGCCATGTGAGTAGACTGCACCCCCAGGCCCATTCCATCTGGGTATGACTTAGCAATCTTCAAGGAGGAAACAATATAAAGCTGAGTCCACCAGGCTTTGGGATAACGTAAGTTTGCTGTGGAGGAAGAAGCCAGACAATCTGAGTGGGCTTCTGTTTTAAGACATGGTGTATTGTTTATTGTAAACACAGCATATTGGGTGGATACTGGTCACTCTGGGACTGGTACACCAGCTGGTGGTGAGAGACTCAGCTGAATGACTGGGTAGTAGTGAGAGGGCTATCCAGAACCATCTAGTTGGCTACAAGGCAGCCCCTGATGGGAGTAGAGTGCTTCTGGACTAGCTAATGAATCAGCCTGGTTGAATACACTCATTGACTGTATGTTAATGCCTTATAATGTTTTATAATCATTCTTTTGTGTTTTTGCCTTTTGTTTTTAGTTGTCTCTTTGGCTCTTTATTGTTTGTTTTTAATTCAATGTATTCAGAACCTGGGGTGAAAATACAAATCATACAGGGCAGAGGGAGATGGTGAGGTCAGGGTCACATGTCCAGGTAGAGGAAGGAGAGGAAGGTATTTAATATCTATCTCACATTCCAGTCATCCTGCCAGCCTGGGGATATTGGAGAGTAAACCAGACCACCCACAAAAACTCATTTTTCTCTTAAGTAATGCCAGGTCAGTGAAAAATAAGACCAATATCATCTATGATCTCCTCAAATATGAGGGAGTTGACCTGGCATACCTCAATAAAACTTGGCTGGGAGAAAACAGTGCTCCAACTTGGGCCCAAACTCTCCCATCTGGGTATTGTGTCAGTGATCAGGTAAGGGAAAATGGGTGAGGATGGGGAAGCTGAATCACATTGAGTGTGTGTACCTGAGTCTGAAAACTAGGGATAGACTAGG